CATCCATCCATCCATCCATCCATCCATCCATCCATCCATCCATCCATCCATCCATCATTTTAAAACTTTCCATTTCACATTTAATTAATGAGAAGTACATTGTGAATCTTACAGCATTTTCCAAAGAGACTTTAAAAAACTCAAAATGACAACTGCAGCTATGTAAAAGAGAGAAAGATTTGCAGATCAAGTTACAAGACTGATCTGATGTTTTTAGACAATAAATCTGGCTACAACTATTGCTAAGCCTTAGTCTTAATACTTAACCCCAGAAAAAATTTTTAAAAATACACAAGGATTTATAAATATTTATTACCATTTCACGAATCTTTTAAAACAGACATATAACTAGCTGACACTTAATTACCAAGCACTGTCTTAATACTGTTTCGTATCATGTTGGATTGGGCTTAGACTAAAATAATCTACATTGCCTTACCTGGTACATTCCAATTCCAATATGTTTGGGTTCAATTTTCACTAGCTCAGCTAATGGGTCTTGTACACGTCTTGCAATGGAAACTGGGGGGAAAAACAGAGCAAGAAATGGTATTCTGTGAAATGCAGGACTGATAAAGTGCTTTTAATTAGGTTTGCTTAGTGGAGTGAATTTTCATTCTGTTCTTTACTGTACAAAAAATAAAGCTGTAGTGGAAGTTAAAATAAAGTCTCAAATGAGAAAATGCATATTGTGGTGAGTACGAGCAGCATGTTTTCATCAATTTAACTTGAAAAAATCTTGCCAGCCATGTACAATGAAAAATAGAGTGATTACACTGTAACAATGCAAACAACACATTAAGAGGACCACATGCCGCAGTAATCAAGTACTAACATTAATTAGTTTAGGCAAATTATATAAGTAGTTGGAATTTTTGTGATTTCTCATTGTCTCTCTTTCAACATATATTCTCTCTCGCTCCCTGTCTCCTCAACTCAAACAGCTTACAATATACCAACATAAAATACCACAAAGGCAGAGGCCAGACATAAAAAATAATCTTTACATAAAAACAGCACTGAAAATCTGTGCTATATGGCTATGCAACATAACAATACCATTAGAAAATGTTTTTTAAAAAAACCCTGTTTTCATTGTACTGACTTAATTAAGGGTTAAAAAGGGTTGTTGGGAGTCAGGTGGCATACAAATTTGAATAAATAAATAAAATGAATGGATCTTAAGAAACTAACCTCTTTTAAATTGAATATTAATTACAAATTTGACTTTCAGGTTGGATTATGGAAATGTTACAAACTTGTCTGACTTCCTTAAAATTGGTGCATCAAATCTTTCCATACCAGATTGGGAAAGGATGGTCTAGTTACTCATTTTATGGAACACAACATGTACAAGAATTATGCTTTTGAAAAACTATTTTTCAGCATAAATTGTTTCATGTACTCTATGTTATCAGTTGCATTGTAGCTAAATATAACTTTGATTACCTACATTACACTGAAATAATAATTATGGATCATCCAGATAGTGCAAGTGGTCTCCCTTGGCATATGAATTGTATATATTGATAAATATGCCTGGGTGACAGGGTTGTTCTGAGTAGGGTTTTTTTGGGGGGGGGGGGCATTCAGCACAAACACACTCTTCTGTAAT